GTTGGGCTGATTACATGGAGCCTGCCTCCTGCTCTTATAAACCAAGTTTGACTGGAACAATCCAATTCCTTTACACCTGGCCCATGCTGCTTCCTGCTACAGAGGTAGAGTTGAGTAATTTGGCCAAGAAGACCAAATAGCTCACAAAGCCTAAAACACTTGCTATGTGACCATTTACTGAAAAATGTTTAGAAGCTTTGCCCAGGAAACAGGAGAAGCAGAGTCTGCCACCCCAAAATACGCCTTTTTGGGATATTGATTATTTTACACGAGTTGTTTTTAAGACACTAAATCCTTAAACTGCCTCTTAACTGCCTAAAAGGAATTTAGATAGAGGATCAGCTCCGGGAAGGCAAGTATCATTACAGATAACTCTAGTTTAATGTAAATCAGGCGAGTGGGACAGGGAGGAATCCAGCAAGGCCCGTTTGATCCAAGTCCTCTCTGTGTCCCATTGTTAAAGATGCTCCAGCAAAAAATTTACTTACCAAATATTTGCTTCCCCATCTTCAAATGAAGTGCCAAACCACATCCACCACCCTCCCCTACCCCTAATAAGACACAAGTATTTCCTCTAGTAATTATTAGGAATAAATGTTAAACTCATTCTCATAGAAAAGATCAAATTAGTAAAAAACAAGTTCATTCACCTACATGTATCTCAAGGAATAACTAACTGAGAATCCTTATAACATTATTACCCCAAACTTGTGCATATATTAATCTAACCCAGTGGTTCTCAATCTGAAGTGGCTTTTTCCCTATAGGGGACATTTGTCACACTTGAGGGTTGATAATGGCCAGAGATGCCACTGAACATCTCACAGCACATAGGACTGTCAACAAAACAAGAGTTGACTTAACAAACTGTGATCTTATTAGTCAATATGCTCTTGGAAGGCAAGAACATGCCACTGTATCCCTCACACCTTATAAGACACCAATCCAATGCTTAACTAATGTTTGCTGAATGTATTTTAATTCTTGCCAAGAGGGTTAACTACAGTTGAGCCACGTGGAACTGAGATGACTAAGCATTTGGAGTCTGTGTGATTTAACCACATGGAGACATGGATATCATGTCTTCAGACATGCCCACATGGTTGTTACTGTTGAAACTAGCTAGTTATTGATATGAATGATAGGAAGAAAACAAAGGGAAGGCCAGACATTCATGGTCATCCAGGCAGCTTCACCAGGAAGCTGCAACGTTACTCTCCCCAGGGCTCCACCAGTCCATTCCTTGCAGATCACTGGGGGGAAGACTGGGCAAAGGGGAAGATGGGTGTGTGGGCAGTGACATTGGGGTAATGTAGGGAAGGTACTTGCCTGTCTGTCTAACCTGAAGAAGAGGGGGTAGGACCACTGCAAGCCTGAGAAATCTTAGGAGGTTAAAATCATCATGTAGACAAAGGAATTCTCTCTCTCTTGTTCCTCTGACTTTGCTCCTGCTTTCTTGCACTCACACATGTTCCCCCCAATAGCCATGTAGCCCTAGAAGCTGAATGGTCCATGGCCATGTGCACCCCACACGGAATGGATTATAGCTGGGAACACAAGCTAAGCTAGCCTGATGCTGGACTGGACTGTGCAAATATGGAGTAGACATTCTGGGCAATGGCTATAATCCCAGCTCTGCTAAGGACACAGCTGGACTTATTCCGTGATGGAACAGAGGGAGAGGGGACTTTAAAAATCAGGAGTCTGCCCCAGGCAAATAAATATTACTTATTCTCCCATGCGAATCTCAGAAAATTCCTTTTCTCGTAACATCGCAAGAAGCCTACAAGAAGCCTGAAGCCATCAGCAACAGGTTGGGGCTTGGAGAGCTCCCCGCCAATACCACGTGACTGTAGAAGTTTCTGATCTGAATGATGCTCTGAACCAATAAAGATATCATCTGACTTGATGTATCTCATACTCTCCTCTTCCCTGGGCTCCAGAGCCCACATGGGTTCAATAATATCTCTATTCTGGTCACTTTCAAAAGTAGAATCAGAATCAGAGTCTTGGACTCAAGCAGGAATCATAGATACAATATCTGTATCTTAGATAACCTATCATATCCATAATCTTCACCAGAGGAGATTCCATTCACACTATTTTTGACGTCTGTTCGAACAGCCCACTCCACCCTCACCCCTGAGATAAGGAGCTCACTACTTAGAAAGCCAGCCTACTGTTTTCAGTGTTTGCATTTGGACGGACTTGTGAAATGCCTTCCTCTTATTGGGTCAAAGTGACCACTGCCAAGTGAAATCAGACAGGCCTAACTGCCCTCAAGTCCACTGAGACCTGCTCCTGAAAACTCCCCCAGCTCTCAGCACCGCCTCTGGGCCATGCAGAACAGCCTCCCTCAGTGTGGAGCTTTCTACCTTTGTGAAGATAGTTATGGCAAACAAGTTTTTTGAGATACTAATCTGTGTTTTTTCCTTTTGCATTTTCTCCTGTTCTTGTCTACCATTCATGCAGGTGGCAGGGTCTGTTCTCCCTTGTCTGGTGTGGGGTTGGGGTGGAAAGGATGGGAGTTGTGGCAGGAAATTGCCAGCTCTCCATTTCCCGCCACCCCCGGTGGGTTTTGTTTCCTAAAAGCCTAAATAAATGATTGGAGAGATTTTGCTAACTACCTCTGGAAACAAAAGAAAGTGGGGGTGCTTTTAGTACAATCAAAGCAGAGAGGAAGTTCCTTTAATAGCAACAAGAGGGGAAGGGAGGAAGACACCTCCCCTCCCTTAGAGAGAGAGAGAAAAAGGAGCCCCTTGCCAATGTCCCAGAGAGGAGGAACTGTGTGTCTGCCTGCCTTGCCAGAGATGCCCTGTCCCACATGAGGGCTGATGCAGCAGAGCATCCTTCCCTGAGGATCACAGGCACCCGGTGGATGGTTTTCAGGTTTGAAATGCCCCCCCACCCCTTCAACTTCCTCACCAACCCCACCCTTATGACTTGGGCTCTTTGTTCTGCTCTGGACTAGGGTGGCTTCAAGCATAGATAAATATCCTGCCTGCCCAGTGGGGTGGGGTCAAAATAGAAATGGACTATTTCTTGCATGCATGTCCACGTTGGGGATCAGAGATTCAGCTACATCACACAGCTATGTGGAAAGGTAGAGTGGCATGGTGGACAGAAGTTAAGAGTCAGACAGATCTAGGATTGGATCTTGGGGCTCATTTACTAATTCCTACTTCCAACAAGTTTCTTAACCAGGGACCGAGCTTTCTCCTCTAGAAAGTGAGGATAATGTTATTCACCAGGGCAGTCATAGAGGCGCATGCTCGGATTTCCCCTTGATTTGGAACCTGCCACGGTGAGTGTAGGCAGCAGACAAACTTGGGTTGCTGCACCTTCAGCATCCACCACAGCATTCAAATTGAGGCCCCAGGCTGCTGCCACCTGTCGATGCCGGAGCACATTAGGGGGACTAGAGCTGGGAATTTCTCCCAACACAAGACTCCTCTAATGGCCAACCTTTTCTCTGGAAATCCACATCGAGGTGACTGAGATGTCTCCAGGTTGCATCACAGTCTGAGGCTCCTCCTACTCATTCTCCTTCTTTCCCTCTCTCCTTCCCAGGGCCAGACCTGCAACAGGTCTGAAGGCTCTCCTTCTTGGTTCCCTTTAATCTCACATAAGCATTTTCTCAATCTGCACTTCTAATTCCATTTAGGTCTCTGCTTTCCAGAAGACCCCAATTGATAGCATTATCCTCATAAGATTGTTTTTAAAGTTGGAAGCAATAACACAGTTCCTGGCTTTTGGTTGCCGATCAATAAAGGTCAGCGTCTTTCATCAGGGTAATGCATTCTTCTCTATTTGCTCAGTGCTTCAATCATATATTCCACTGTGTATTAGGCTTCGTCAGTAGACAGTGTGAAGTTAGACTTCTTAACACAGCACTCCAGACTACAAGTTATCCAAACTCAGGCAATCTGGCTCTAGAGTATGTACTTTTTATTTTTAATCTTCACCCATGAACAGAGAGGACAGAGAGGAAGGAAGAGAGAGACAGAGGCAAAAAGAGACAGAGGCAGAGAGAGACAGAGAGACATAAATTGGCTGCAGGAATTGGACTTGCAACTCTGGTATGTGCCTCAATTGGGAATCAAATTGGCAACTCTTCTGTGCATGGGCCAATGCCCAACCAACTGAGCCATTTGGCCAGGCCATAGTCTGTGTGCTGTAAACATCTGAATTGAATTTTAAGCTTCTTCAGAGCATAAACAATCCTGACATGAGTATAAATCTAGTGAATCAAATCAGTAGGAAAAAATTATTTTCTTTAGAGAAACACGGGCACAGAAATAGTAAGTCAGCTGGGCAGGTGTAGACACTGATCAACCACTGGTGAACCACATGATAGCTGTCACCTCCTCCCACCTCCTCCCACCGTTTGCTTGGCTTCCAACTCAGCAGCTGTTTCCTGGCAACAGCACTAAGAGAAAAGTTGCCATGATATGGCTTTTCACCTTACTTAACCCTGACCTCTTCATCTGCTCTAGCCACAGGGCTCTTCTAGTTCCGATAAATTCTCAACCATAGATGCCATGATCTTTTATGCCTATCGGAACTTTTCAGGCAAAAAAGAAATGGAAAGTCAAATCAGGTTTTCTTTTCATAAAAAAATACACATTGACTCAGTGGTTTGCCGAATATTGGCCAGGTAAGGATATGGAACATTGGACATCAAGCTGGTTTTTTATTACATGGCAGACACCATCCAGTTCTGGATGCGTGAGTGCAACCAACACGGCAGCATCAGTTTGTTCCAAAAAATTCTTCAGGTTTATGATAACATACTACCCTCACCATCATTCTAGAATGAAAACGACAATGCTAATGTAAAAAGAAGCACTACTCTCTCCTAACTCAGGGGTCAGCAAACTGTGGCTTCTGAGCCACATGCAGCTCCCAAGCTGCGGTTTGCCGCTCTGTTGACTAATGAGTTTGCCGACCACTGACCTGACTAATCAAGAATGATTAAGACCAAAAATTATTGTACTTACCGGAGGGCACTGTGCAAGTTTATCAGCTGCCACCAGTTGCACATTTAAGTGTTTACTTTGGGACTTCCCTCTAGATTTAATCAACCGCTGTAAAACCTGATGGAAGAAGACACAGGTCTGAGATACCGTCAATGAGTTGAAAGAAAACAAACAAACCAAGACCTCTTTTAATAGTCTGTTCAGCACTGAGCATGAATAGAGAGGAAATACAAAGTGACAGATCACATATATTAACTCTGCGATGACATCATTACACTGATTTTCACTTATAATGGATTTGATATGTTCATCCTATTTTCATTCCTTGTGAGGTTTGATTTTACCCAGAGATTTCAAAGAGGGTCCTGCAAAAGTAGAGGAACTGATCTGTACCGGAACATTTTTGTCCAAATTCAGTTGTCATATTTTGGTTCACTATCTCAATGTCAGATAAACAGCAAAATCATTTATATATATTGGGTCCTTTTTTCAATAGAAATTATTGAGGCATCCCAGTTTAATTTTACATTGATAAGATGATTTCTTTATAGAAAGCTAAGCAAAACATTTGTACTGGTATATGGCCACATATAACCAGTGATATATCTGACTTTTTGAGCACTGCTATAACTGAGTTTTGCCATATACTCTACTCTCCTTTAACATTATTTTTGGCTGAAACAGGACCCTCTCCCAAAAATAGTACTAGTGTACTATGATACTTCAGCACATATGGCTACCAGAACCTCAGGTGCTGCACTTGTGAACTCATGGTGACTGAGGGTGACCGGGACAGAGGGGTTGAAATCTATTGCACTGCAGCGAAGGGGTGCTTCAAATTTCAATCCATCCTAATGCTTCCCCAAAAGTCCTGGCTTGGTTTGGACAAGCTCATCCTGCACAGAACCGATGCCAGAGATGAAAGGCCGAGGACATCCGAGGGGTGAGGTGGGGGTGGGGAGGGTGGGGGGAAAGCCCAGCTTCTGGAGGTATTCTCCATTCATGAGCGGAGACTACACTCTGGTTGGACATTGAATTGGCATTAAAATGAACTCTTGGAGGCAATGAAAAAAACCTGACTATTAAGGTAGTACCTCCCAAGGGTACATATTTTATAATCACTTTTTATATTATCAATGATTTTAAAAAATGAAAGACCACCCAAATCAAAAGTGATCAATTTGAGGCTGTCTCACTTTCATTTTTCTCTCCCCTGGTGGCCTGAAGATACATGGTAAACATCCCATGTGTGTAATCACAGGATAATTATATTCCTTGAAGAATCCAACCTAAGCACAAATGTAAGGATCTGCAATGTCTTCATAAGACATTTTATATGGTGATGTTTGACTTTCTATAAGATACCTTCTCAGAACTATGTACTCTCTCAACTGGGAAGAGAATATAGGTGATACAAGATCAATATTACCCAGGAAATTTACCAAAATAGAACCCAAAGTCTCTGAAAAGCCAGTTTACTTTTCCTCACCTTTCTTAGTTTTTGTTTCTCTTACATTCCTCATAACTGCCACAATAGACTGTGAGCTTTTTGAAAAGGGCTTATACCATAATACCATGATTTGTTTTGCTAATCTAGTATAAATTCAAGTTTACCCACTGAAAAATTCTCCCTCAGAATTTCTAGAACCTTTACAAACTGTGGGAATTCAAACTGTGCTTATGAAAAAAGGTTTACACAAGACATTCTCCTAGCACATGAACAAAAAAGCACAGAGGGAAAAAACAAAAGAGCTGCTAAACCTTAAGCTGGAGATGAGCTAATTACCTTTGGAGAAGAGACTTTTACATGAACAATAATTGGTGCTAAAGAAGTCTTTATAAGTTGTGCTGGGTGATTGATTGTGTCTGCATCAAGAACAACCAGTTGCAAAGATCTTGCCAACTCAAAGATTCTTTCAATTTCACTTTGTACTTCCGCTAAAAAGAGAAATAATAAATAACAAGTCATGGTTATTTTTTTTTTAAATTAGTTGCTATGTTTAAAAATATATAGTATCCCTCTTTCAGATGTTTGTCTATATTGAAAAATAGAACATTTGGAATTTACATATTCTGATCTAACTTAAGATCTTTCTAAAGAGAGAGAAACAGTTTGAATTTTGCATAAAACCAAACAGAAAATTTGAGATGGCTCTCTTGATTTGCTTCTTACTTACACTCACCCTAATAATATATATAAAATAGCTATATATAATATATATATATAATATATATAGCTATTTTTAGTGTTTATTTGTTTTTAATCATTAATTGAGGATATGTTTATGTTTTTTACTGATTTTAGACAGAGAAGAAGAGGGGAGAGAGAGAGAGAGGAAGAAAGAAAGAAAGAAAGAAAGAAAGAAAGAAAGAAAGAAAGAAAGAAAGAAAGAAAGAAAGAAAGATTGTCTCCCATATGCACCCGGACTGGGGATTGAACCCATAACCTGAGTACTTGTCCGGACTGAGAATCTAACCTGCTACCTTTTGGCATATGGGACAACACTCCAACCAAATGAGGAATACCAGACAGGGCATAGCTATGTTAATTTTGATTGCTGCTTTGCCTAAAGAAATTTATTTTAGCTATAGCAGCTGAAACCACATTCAGGAAACAACTGAGACACATATACAGAGCATCTCATAGAATGCAACTTGCATTGAAATATTTTTACCAGTGATCAACTTATATATTAATATTATATAGATCTCCTTTTTAAAAATCCCACAATTCACCTGTTTTGACTAATGTACTTATTTTTGTATCCCAGATTAAATGTTCTATGTCTAATCTTATAACTAGCATATTGCTAAGTCTTAATTTAAGTATTAAGACCAGTGGACTGTTTTGAGGCAAAATTATATATTATTTTTAAAAAACTAAGATCAAATATATCAAAATGTTGCAATGCATCTAGATGCAAATCTATTTGGTGGTGGTAATAGCCAAGTTATCCAAATCCATGAGTGAATCTGCTCAACCAAAAAAAATTCATTTTTGTCAATATCTAAAGCAATCCAGATATTTTTAAAAAGCAAAAACAAGTTATCCATAAAAACATAATGTGGCTTTCTGAAATACAAAAAAAAGACTTTTAACTATATATTTCATAAATCATCTAACTTATTGGGTCATGTCCAAGTCTGAATTAGACTAATTTTCAGAGAGATGATCTTGTTTTGCTTTTAACCTTTTCTTTTGAGCTTCAGGTGTGGCCTCACAATGTTGTAATTTCATCTAAATTATACAGAGTAGACAAAGATAGCTAATTTAAATTACTTCAAAGGTGGCCTAGAAAAGGTGGTGTTGCTCTAACTATCCTCACTAAAAATCTTGTGCCAGAATCCCATGATTTGTTTTGCTAATCTAGTATAAATTCAAGTTCATGTCACCCACTGAGAAGTTCTCCCTCCCACAATCTAATGGATTGACAAGGAGTGTATGGTCTTGAATGCTCAGAACCGTCATGTAACTCTATTTTCTTGGGCTTTGCCTAAAAGCATAAATTCTTTATTTTCTACAGAATCACTGATGCATCATCTGTATTAGACATTTGTTTTTAATATTATTTAACCCTTACAACTTGAAAGGTTTCATTTTGTAAAGAATTTGGACAATTGGGCTTATTTGCAACATTTTTCTGAAATTACATTCTACATTTGTTATAGTAATAACAGCATACCTGTCCCTTTTTTCTCACATCAGAAACAGTTAAAAAAAAGATTTTTCTTATGAGAGGAGTTTAAAAACTAAATTCTATTTTTATTGTAGTAAATTTCAGCCTCAGGCTGTTGGGTTATATTCTTCATTTGTTGTTTTCATTAAACTGGCTTAAGGTTAACTCCTGGCCAGGGCTATGCTAGAACAAGTCTATATTGCTTTAATTTTCAAATCTGAAAACAATATTTTCTGAAGTAGCAAAAAGGCAGTGACGCAAACTAGACTGCTCTGGTACAGGGAACCCTCGAGGCACGCTGAGTCTCTGTGTGAATACCTCAGAGATACCGTGGCCTGGTTTCCTGAGCTCCAGCTGTGATGACAGTGTGGTTTCTGACAGGTGTGGAGGGCAGGCACACCTGCTTGATTCACACTAAGCCCTTGGGCAACGGACACTCTGTCTTGAGCAGAGAGGTTGGGCAGAGCCAGCCAGGAGGCTGCAGAGAGCCACACTATATACTGTTATAGGTCCAATATTTGGATAATATGTATACAGAATGCAATAACTAATTTATATGTGTGAGGAAGAGGAATGATCAACATAGCTAATTTTCTTTAATATGTTTTTATTGTTTTGTGTGTGTTTTTAGAAAGAGAAACATTGATATGAGAGAGAGAGCAATATCTTATCAGTTCCACCCAGACCAGGGATCTAACCCACAACCTAGGTATGTGCCCCGACTGGGAATGGAAATGGCTACCTTTTGGTGCATGGGATGACAACTCAATCAACTGAGCCACAAGGCCAGGGCAATGTAGCTAATTTTCTTAAGAAAAAAACTTTAACCAAACCCAACAATCTTGACTACCCAGGCTGATTCTCAGAAGGGTTCCAATGGAAGTTTCCTTGTGATCTTATTTCAGACAAATAGAGCTCTGAGAAATCATGGACTATGATGCCGGAGGGATGTTAATGAATGCTTCTACAACTTGGCCATCACTGATCTGGACCCATCTCTTTCCAGTCTTTCTGTCACCTGGGATCTTTTTTACATCCAAATGCTTAACATACTTCAGTGGCTTCCTAGGCTCGAAGCAACATTTCCCAAAGTGAGTTCCCTGGGAGACAAATCCCCCAATATATCCTATGGGGAGAAGGAGGTTTTCTGTAAGAGAAATATTGTATACTAGAATAGTTTCTCTTGGAATTTCAAACGTGCAATGCCCTTTGTATCCTAACAGCTCCAAGAAGTCTTACAGTGAAGAAAACTACAAATTGTTCAATGTGCAATTTCCAAGTTTATTTGACCATAGAAAACATTTTGGGTGTAACAACTATTAGGTGTCTTTTAAAATTAACATTTCGTGGGATTTATTCTGGAGAACTCTTTGGCAAGACACATGGAGCCCTACCATACTGGCCTCAGTCTACTTTTCTCAGTCTCTTCCTTTGCTCTAAAACCATGTCTGCCCTCCCCTTTTCTAAGCAGGCTCTGTAAAAAAATGAGCTGTTTCTCAAACACACAGTCTTCTTCTATATGCTGATGACTTCGCACATTCTTGTCTGCCTTGAAGAACCAGCTCCAATAAAACTTCTGAGATGTCTTCTCAGACACTTCTTACTCTCTACCCTTCTTTCTCAATACCCCTACCTCTTTGCTCATACTTCCCCTATCAAAGAGTATTTTTAATCATCTGTTTCATCTTTCTGTTTGCTCATGTGTAAGATACTTTGTCTTAGTCACATTTGCTCTTCCCAAATCTGGCTTAATGCATGGCACATAACAAGTGTTAAAACATTTGATAAAGGAATCTGCAAATGTGCATTAACAGCAAGCAAATGAACATAAGTGGCTCACACAGTGACTATTATAATAGATTGCCATTAAATTAACTCCAGGTTTGTGGTATATGAATTTACAGAGTAAAGGGGGGAAACAGTGAACTGACATCTACCTTGTTTCTTTCTCAATATTTTAAAATATATTTTTATTGATTTCAGAGAGAAAGGGAGAGGGAGAGAGAGATAAAAACATCAATGATGAGAGAGAGTCATTGATTGGCTGCCTTCTACACACCCCCTACTGTGATCAAGCCTGCAATCTGGGCATGTGCCCCTCATTGGAATCGAACCTGGGACCTTTTAGTCTACAGGCCAATGCTCTATTCACTGAGCCAAACCAGCTAGGGCTCTTCCTCAATATTTACAGTAACTCCACCCACACACTCCACTGATTCTGACAAAAGGTGACTAGATCACCAATGACTTCAAAGCATATTCATGAAACCCTTGGTTTCATGCAATTGTTAGAGGCAGGCAACCTAGCTTATGCTTTTAAGTATCCATTACCCTCCAATTATACATCAGAGGAAGTCAACAGCACTGTGAGGAGTTAGAGGAGAGTGAAAGACAGAATAACAAATGATACTTGACTTTAGTCAGTTACTTAATCTGATTCATTATTACCAACTCTGCCATCATCACTTCCTCAAGGTGAAAATATTGTGCCTTATAGAAGTGTTTCATTCTGGCCCTGGCTGGTGTGGCTCAGTTGGTTGGAGCATCATCCAGGACACCAAAAGGTGGCAGGTTAGATTCGTGGTCTGAGCACATACCCAGGTTGTGGGTTTGATCCCCAATTGGGCCATGTGTGCAGGAGGCAACTGATCAATGTTTCTCCCATTGATGTTTCTCTCTCCCTTCCTTTCTCTAAAAAAAAATAAATAAATAAATAAAAATACTAATTAAAAGTGTTTCATTCTGTATGTGAAAGGCTATATACTAAATACAGGACTTAAAAAAAGAAAAAACAAACAAACAAAAAACCCCCACTGATGTCTGGTATCTTGCCCTGGCAAGCTCTGACACCTATTTCATTTGGTAAGTTTAGCATTCTTTCACATAGCAACCACCAAACAAACATTTTATTGATCAATTACCATGTGCCAATTCCATTCCAGGAATATAGTGATAATACTTTGTAGCCTCTTTCCAACCTGCTCCATTCTTGGCACAGCCCTCAGTGAATTCTTAATGAGATGTTTGGGCATGCAATCTATTAGGAAATTTTATTTTTAGTGTTCAATCACCTATAGAGCTCATCTCAGGAGATAAAAAAAATGTAGTGGCATAGAAAACCCCTATCCACCCAGGAAGAAGAGGGCAGTAAAACAAGTTGCCCTCAGAATGTGCATGCGAAAGTTATGAGTGTACTACACCACTCTTGGAATCATAAAAACCTCAAACAGCCTTTTGATATGAATATTGTGATTTCCCAGCAGCATGGATTTGCTTCTGTGGATGGTGAATCTACAACTCTGTTCACATGTGTCTTGATGGAGCTACACACATAGAGCATGTGTGTTTTCTTCTCCATCATGGTAAATTTTAGGATGTTTTCTAACTGGTACTCTGGGAAACTCCCTGAGTGTTCTTAATGTAGTTACTATTTCCACTTAATGACGTGACTATTCTGGGTACTACCAGTCAGCAGCAGAAGCGACAGTGAGAACACCATGGTCTAGCTTTCTTCTAAAGACCAGATAAGGCTGAATATATCATCTCCTTTCATGTCAGCTATGAGTCAGATGTGACAGATATTATTAGCCACATTGAGAAGCGCGCGCAAAGCAGAGATGAGTGGCTTCACATGGTTAGGCAGTGACAGACCAGGAGAGGCCTGGAGGATTCTTCCCACCAGACTCCTAATTAGCTAGTTGGCTAGAGCAGAGGGAGAGGAGGCTCTGGCTGCTGCAGGATTCTGCTCCCTTCTTTGCCAGGGGGAGCATTTCCTCCAGTTAATCAGCGCTTCCCTACTCTGAATGGAGAGCAAACTGGAAAAGCCATTCCAAACTCATCCCCGTCTGAAAGCACAGGTTGGAGAAGGACCACATTTGAACATCTTACCTAGGCTGGACCGAGTGTTCGAACGTTCAATTATTGCTCTCTTGCTGGGATTATTTAGGACAGACCTCTTAGCAAGAGAAATGTCAGCTGTCACTCTCGTTATTGATATCCTATGAATAGGAACACAGAACAAAACAAGCCAGTAAAAATGTCATAGGGCTCTCCAAGTGATTTATAAGCACAGTACTTAATAACCACTTTCCATACGACAGTGCAACCACAGCATAATAAACATTGGCCACAAGTATTTTAAACAGGCTTTGGCTAGTATTAAAACACAAGCAGAGCAGAAAACAGGAAGGTTTTGGCTATTTAATGAAAACAACAAAAAATGGTTGCAGCAAAATTGCAGCTCCTGCCCCATTGTTGTCTGCCTCGCTGAATTCTCTTTAATGCACACCATACCAGGAGGGAATCAAAACATATGAATAAACTGTGCTCTTTCTAGTAAGCGGCGACACAATTTCCTACAATTCATAGTTGAGTTGCTCTTGGACAAGACTTTTAAAAACTACAGACACTCCACCCTGGCATGTTAATGCTGCCGGTCAAAGGGGGAAATCATAGAAGACAATTAACCAGTTGGTAGCTCTGTTGCATTCCTGGTGCCCAATAGTTAATTCATGATACACAAAGCATTTCTCCACAGGCCCAAAGGAAGGTTTGACTTTTAAGGATATGAAAAATATGAATTCTTTTCTGTAGGCACAGGATTCTTCGGCATAGTTGCATATGTTGGGCACTATAAGAAGGCAGGGTGAGAATTGTGCCAGGACATTTTTAAGTTAGGAAGTGTCCTGCAGTCACACAAGAAAATAAAGACATTGCAAGTGAAGGAGAGAGGGGCCTATGTGTTTATGATTATCAAATGAGAATTTCTGACGCTCACAATTTTAAATTCTTTAAAATAAACTGGGAGTGAGCGACTTCAGGCTATTATCTACCTGCAGAATGCAAAGAAGGCCTCCCTAGGCCAGTTATTGCCACCAGGGGCCTTCCTCCATTCTTCACAACCTGCCAGGGTTCCAGAAAGGAGACAAGGAGAGCACTACCTCCTCCTTGTGCATCTGATCTCCTTCATTTTCACACTCCTTTGGAAGGTGGAGCAGGAAAGAGGTTGTTACTGATCATTATTGAGGCCTATGTCATTTCACATCTGTCTTGGGACAACACTTTCAGCACTCTCAGGAGTCTCTGCACCTGACTTCAGGGACCTGACACCTTGGGGAGAAGTAAAAACATTCCACTTGCCAAATGGTTGGAAATCACTTCTTTAAAGTAACAGACTGTGCAAGAATTCGGGTGCCCATTTTAAAGCAAGTACCCCTTGTTTGTGTCATTGTATTTATAGGCTGTAGATGGTCAGGAAGATTTAAATGTTTTAATTTTTAGACTTTTCGGGCTCTAAGAAATTCCTGTAGGCATCTGCAGAAACCAAGCATTTTGTGGAACATGTCCACGTCTGCTGGGAGCCTCCAGGAAGGCGGGGTGGGCGGGACTCAGCTTCCCCAGCCAGTGACAGGCAAACCAAGGCCTCTGCACTTCCCTTTTCTACATTGCTGCTTTCTCTATCATTTTATTGTAAAAAGCTGTTCAGCTGCTGCAAGACATTGGGAAACACTGGTCAAATACTATTTCTTCATTTTACCAAGAAGAAAAACTGAGACTCAGAGAGGAAGTGCCCTGAGGTTAGAGGCTAGGAAGGTATAATACACGGCCCCCAAGTTCCAGGCCAGTACTCAGCCACCTAATTTAACAATCTCCTACAGTTTTCTTCCCCAGAAACCCATTCTCCAAACATGAGCCACATCGACAGGGGCAATGCTCAGTTAGACTCGGCCACTGCTGACAGATGGTCAGGATTTACTCCTTGAAGTCAGGTGAACCCCACATCTGAGCCTCCATTCCTCATTGGCTGCTGCAACCTGAGGCATGAAATCTCCTAGGCAGTCCTGGTCACAGCTTCTTTTATTTACATTGCTTGTTTTAGTTCCTGTCTCTGTTTTTTGTTTTGCCTGTTGTTTTTAGAACGAAGTTGCTGGTTAGAAACATACTGTGAAGTTCCAGAGCAATTCAAATAGATGACTGGAGACAAGTGGGTTGGCTTAGGGACAGAATTCAACTTTCTAGAAATAATTACTTTTGGAGAGCCCAAACAGTCTATTATGCTTAGGTGAAAATTAAATTTTCTAGTTCTATTCAAGCCAAATATTGACCCTTGGTTCTTAAAAATTGAAGGGATTATCAACAGATGCACACTTTTGGTTTTTGCTGGGTTGTAAACATTTTTACAAAGCCATTTTCAAACACATCCAAAGTTTTACCCTCCCCCAACTCCCCACACACACAGAAAAAAATTCCTTCATATAGTCACCAAACAGGAAAAGGTGTAGACAATAAGTGGTTCTTTTTCTTGTTTTATTTGTTAATAAAATACCAACTAACTTTTAATACAATTTAGACCTCAGAAGACGAAAGCCACAGCCCCAGGAAGCATTTAGTAAGGCAAAGCAAGAGTTTCTTATTTCTAGGCAAAGGCGCTTACTATTATCAAGATCAGATACCAAATTCAAACTTCTGTGTTTTGTTTTTGCATTCTAGTTTACATACTTTTTTTTTTTAAACTTGATATCCTTTCAACACTTTTTATTGCTGTACTCTTATCCCCTGTCATCTTCCAGCACTTCCACACATCTTGTTTGATATACGTCTCTAAAAAGTTCCCTGGGAAATTTTCCTGTGATATAGTGTCAGTAGTTACTCGTTAGTAGATAAAAGACTAATAGAACCTCGTTTTCTCAGTAGACTGGATACAGTAGCAAATGTCACTGAAAACTAGCAAAAATAATTCTCCAAATTTTGCTAAGCAACTCCTCAAGTGTTTCTTAGTTCTGTTCTGGAATTCATCACAATTGCGGCTATCCATCGTGATCTATGAGTGTTAGTTTTCTGTGATTTTTCTATGGAAAGACATTTCTTTCAGTTACAACACACTCATTTAAGAATAACTAGTATTTCCATGTTGGTAATGGAACAGCTGTAAAATCCTTCTATACTTTATCCTCCCTATAACTAATATGCAGACCTGTCTGTGTATTAACTTATTTTAGTCCTAATATGCATAGAGAAAAGTGCTCCAACAGGGATGGAAGGCATACATAGACCTGAGTATTCTTTCCGGATCTTTCTCTTGCTGGTCCGTAGATAAAAGACTAATAGAACAAGACTGTGAATGAGTCATGTCAGATTTTGAGCGTTAGTATTAAAATCAATGTAACAGTGATCGAGGTTTGTCATACTATTTCATGGGTATGTCATTGGGAGAAAACAAGGTAATGTGTAAAAAGTCTTTTCTTAAATAATTATTCATCATGTACTGTGTTGACAGGAACATATATAAGTATACAGGACAATTATTGGCTATTTGAAGGCTTGAAAAAGACAGTTTCTTTATATCCTATCCTCAAAAGTTAGCAGTCAACCATGAACTCCTCCATCCCTGGAGTCTGTGATGTTTCTATATACCTTGAGGGTGAGAGAATCAGGGCAGACCTGTAATCAAAACCTGCTGATTTAAGTATTCGTGTTTGTATTAGCACGTTCATTATCTCCAGTGTTTGTCCTCCGATGAGTCTGCATTTGAATGGAGAGTGGTAGGAGGACACGTTAAGGGAATAATGTTGATTGTGAAACAGAAGGCACGGTGCCGTTCTTTTCCATCTGTTAACTGCAATTCCAGTCCTTCCATGGCTTGGCTGCTCTGTGACAGCACCAGTCTTTCCCATTTTCTTTCACAAATACTCTCTCCGGAGTCTCCCTTGGTTGTATTCTCAGCCTCTTTTCTTTAATTCTTTCTCAAATCCTTTTTTTTTGTTGTTCTTTCTTTTAAGTGTTTCTTAGCTAATAACATCCTTTCGCTTCAGATCCCATCTGTCTAAATTACATGATGTTCATGTAGGATTTTGGCCACGATCACGATGGTTACAAAGTCTCCAATAACCGCCACAGAGCTGATCTGATCCAGGTGGCAAAAAGCTTAAACAACTTCCTTGGGGTTTGACATGATTAGCATAGGGCTGTGGTGGGCAAACTGCGGCTCACGAGCCACATGCGGCTCTTTGGCCCCTTGAGTGTGGCTCTTCCACAAAATACCACAGCCTGGGTGAGTCTATTTTGAAGAAGTGGCATTAGAAGAAGTTTAAGTTATAAAAATTTGGCTCTCAAAAGAAATTTCAGTTATTGTACTGTTGATATTTGGCTCTGTTGACTAATGAGTTTGCCTACCACTGGCATAGGCCAACAAATTGCAATCAGTTTGACTGCTTGCTCTTCAGCCTAGGCATGGTAGATTCAACCAGCTAACAAACCGCATCACCAGGGACAATGCCAGTGCATGTCTGAGATAAGAAAAGAAAACAGCAAAGCTCCTTGCCATGGTGCACCTGGTGTATCCTCGCCAGGCTGGTACCATTGTAGCAGCTTGTGAAGCTCCCTTAGCTTATGATCTGCGCACGGCAACTGCCACTACATCATGCATACAGGGACCCCTCAGAAACTGTTTCATCTGTGCTTTTCATTTTTCTTACATGAAAGTGTAACTATTATATTTTCTTACATGAAAAATAACTATTATAGACCCTACAATAATAGTTATAGGAAAAAAAAAACTACCTTGTATAATAAGTAGCTCTAAACAGACTCAAATAATTTCTAAGGTATCCAAAAAGGCGAGCATATGGTTCTGTAAAAATCAAGCTATTGCACTTTAATTCAATTTGTTGGATTATTTTCTAACTGAGATCTGAAAAACAGTTTTGAAGAAGGAAGCCTCTTTTTCGCTCTGTGAAAAACAGGACTTGCTCCTGACTAGGCTGTCTAACCCACTGCACTCACAGCCCGTGAAACAGAGCAGGGTTCCAGTAGAACATATTGTTTACACTGCGTGGCTGTGCGAACGCCTCCTGTGTAATTGTTCTCATGGATGGTTTCAATGAAAGATGATTTGTTGTTTTCTCTCCTTGTATTAATTGGTGAAACATAATGCTGCAGATTGTCATAGCTCAAAATGCCAGGGAGACAAGTCAGAGCCAGATAAGCAAACCTCTTCTCCCTTATCAGTCTCCAGTACACTCAACCAATCGATACAGTACAGGTTTCTCTGCAGCGCTGGCCTCTTATCTTTGGAAAGCAAGTCTACTCACCTGCTCCCACCTTTAATGTCAACTCTGCCCTACATGAGCTCTCTCAAGGCTGACTCACTTTCTCCAGCTGTTGCTGTTGCTGCTGTTGGATTTGCCTTCAGATCTTCCACTCCTCCTTGGTGTTATCAGACCCCACGGAATACCTGGCCTTGACATTTTAATTCTATTTCTAACACCATCTTCAACAGAGTGTGGATTGGTAAGTGCTTAATACAGACAACTCTACCTGGTTCAAAACAGATCTCTGCATGTATAATTAAATGCATTTCCTCTTTCTGGGCCTGAGATCTGAGGTAGAACCTCACATTCTTCACCCTTAAAAGCAATAATTAAGTCACTCATTTTTCTCTTTGCTAAATTAGAATAATTCCTTTCTTTCCCCCTCTTAGGTCCTACATTTCAATTCTTTGACATTGTTGTTTATAAGGATGTGATGTGCGGACAAAAGCAACCTACCACAAACTTTGGTTGTGTTATGAGGTGGAATTTGTTCAGCTCAAGGACTGTTATGGGGCCACAAGACGAGTCACTGCTCAGATCTTCCTCAGCTAAAGGCGCCACAGTTTAAAACCACGTGACTTCAAGCATAGCGGAAGGATGTCTGCATGTGCAACCAAGAACACTGCAGGCTGAGCCATGCATGTTAGCTGCCTCTACTCCACAGAGGGTTTTATCAGGGGAAAGGTTACGACCCAGATCATCCGAGGGTGAGACCAAGACTAATACTGTTAAGTTAAAGCCAGAACTCAGCTGTTGCTTTGCAATGCTTTCTTAAGAAATGAATTCCCATTAGCTAACAGTCTTCAAACAGAAGCAGGTTAGTGGTTGGTAGAGAAAACAGATTAGAATAAAATATAAATTAAAATATAAATTTAAATGTATTAAAATACATTTCCTCCAACTCCAATATTCTTGTATTCAGTGCTCTTCACTTGTTTTCTTAATAATTAACTACTTTATTCTTTTCCTATCTTTTTTAAAAAGAGGGGAATAGGGTAAGTCTACGGTTAGCTTATAGCTTTTTAGATCCACTAGATGAATGTGGCAAACACTATTATTTGTTCAATAATATTATATCCTCTTCCTCCTGGGCACATAGCTAAACTATATATTTCCCAGCTTCCTTTGCAATTAAATGTGGCCATGTGACTAAGTTTAACCAAAGAAAAGCAAAAATCAAACTTCCAGGACAGAATGTTTCTTTTCCCACCAGATGATTGGAGAGACCACCCTCAGGCCGAGGGCCCCCAATGGTAGGTGGGACAAACTTTCTGCCTGATCCTCCCCTTCCTCATGTCTTCCAGCTGAGGAACATCTGCCTAAAACTGTCAAACCAACAACAAGCTTGTGTTTGAATCATTATACATTTTAGGATCTATTCATTAAGGCACCCTGGCCTACACTAAGGTAGTTAGCAATTCACATAATTGCACTGAAGCATTCTGATTTTTTAAACTAAAATCTCAATTATTGGAACTAAAATCTCAGTTTATTTTTTTTGTATATAGCCTCAGGAATGAATGACTATTTTAATACAATTATCCAGAAGCTTTCCTTTGAGAAATATATACAATTTGTACTTAGAGCATTATCATGTTTTCTTTTTTCCTAAAATACCATATTTATTCAAATATTTGGTAAGTTGGCTGCATTTAACCATACTTTTTAGTCCACACTATTTATGTTTTCTTCATTTTAATAAATCTTCTGGTATTTACAGGTGGTTATGTTTACATGGATTTCATTCTGTATGTGAAAGAGCTTATCACTTAATGTCAAGTTAATGTGAACTTTACCATTTCTCTGCAAAATACAGAAACTTAAATGATAAAATTATCTGATGGCTAAAGACTAAGCCAGGATACATATAATATCCTATATCATAAAACCCTAATATGCAAATCAACTCAATGGTGGGACAACCGCATGCTATGATGTGCACTGACCACCAGGAGGCAGATACTCAACGCAGGAGCTGCACCTTTGTGGTCAGTGCATTCCCACAGATGGGCTCACAGATAGCGGTAAGGAGCAAGGGGTCCTGAACTGCTAGAGCCCCAGATTGCAAGAGGGATGTCCACTTGCCAGCTTAGGTCCAAGCTGGCAAGCGATCCTCCAAGGGGTCCTGGATTTTGAGAGGGCACAGGCTGGGCTGAGGGGTTCCCCACCCCAGTGCACAACTCCATGCAGTGGGTCTTTAGTAGACCAATAAAATAAAAAGGTAATTTCTAGTAAAACAAACCCTGAGCTAAGCATCTGAAGAAGTACTATTTTCCAGAAATAGTCACTTTGAGAGGTTTATGATGAAAACATTTCTCACACTCCTTTTTTGAGCAAGTTGAGTACTTTATGTTCATATCTTTATATGACATACACACATATACACGTATAATTCCCAAATGATACTACCTAGCTTGACCAGCAAGCTACTATATTTATTAATAATTATCCTATATTTTTAATTAATTTCAATAAAACAAGTTTAGTCTGAATCCACCAACAAGTGAGAAAACAATGACAGACACATACATTTAAATAAAATGAATGGATTATTTTCCTTCTCCAAGTTCTTTTTCCCTTGGGGATTCAATGCTATCTTTCATTTCTTCAGATTTTCAGAACTCTTTCATTGTATTCTTCCCTGACTACTGACTTTTAGCTATCGATCTTCAATTGCTGAAAACATAGACCCATAGATCAACCCATCATACATGTTTGATTAAAGGGGAAAAAATACAAAAATATCTATATGTCTCACCTCCCATCAAACCTGTGCTTCAGGAAATCAAAGAGGGCTTTCTGCATCATGTCTGTTACCTTCGCAGAGGTGAGAAAAACAGAATGAGGCAAGCACACGCAGAGAGAAAGAGAAGTCAAAAGTAAGAGAGGTGGAAGGGAAGGGCACTGTGATTGAGCAAATACGTTATTACAGCCAATCCTTTCCAAGGGGTAGGTTATTGTTGAAGGCATTTTTCATTCTTAACCACCCACAGTTTCTAATTTCCCCCTTTGGTTCTCCTTCAGGGTGTGGAGGAATAAGCCAGAAATACTCACTAGACCCCAGCCCTCCTTCCTTATGAAGGTTTAGAACTACCCCCAGGAGACCACCTCAGCTCTTTGCATGCAGGTGCTGCCTGTCCTGGACACACCTGAGTGGTGTTTGCCTCCAGTGAGGAGCAGCTGGAAGCCCTTAGACCATCCTCGGGCTCAAGCAGTCCTGCTAGTCTGTGCATGTTGCTAAACATTCTCTGTGCTCAGAGCTGGATTTCTGTAGCTCACTCTGCTGCTCTTCCTCTGACATTTCCCCTCAGAGGGAGCGGGGAGAGGGAAGGGCTAGGGAGAGGAAGTGGAAAGGAGAAAAAGAGCTAGGAAGGAGATGGGATGCTTAGCTCTGCCTCTAAGAAATTGATGAATTCATTCAACAAATGTGCACTGAGTGCCTACTAGGTAGGGGCCAGGCATTGCCCTAGCTCAGTGGGAATGCTGCCCTGGAAGTTGCCCACCTTCTGATTTCAATGCCCCACCTGTCACCTGTGCTAGAACAAGGTCCAAATGGCAACATCTGCAATGTAGCACATCTACATCTTTACTCTTTCCTTCCAACCTGGTATTGAGAAGCTCACTAATATATTTAATGGAGTTTTTCCCTTTAAAATAAACAGGCAGAGAAATATTTGAGCACCAGCAGGGTGAGATTTGGTGCTCTGAGGGCTTAGGTTTGGCTGGCAAAGTGCCTATATGTCCCCTTCTGCAGTTCATAGTCTGTTATTTCTAACAGTAATGGTAATGGTTGAGACAGACAAGTCCTTTTCTTTGAATATGTTGCAGAGTAAATCTTTTAACAGAGCTTGCCATTATCAATGGTTTGAGGGAGATATTTATTTCGAAACAATGGAAAACATCATAGATGAGATGTTTGCCCAGGGGAGCGGGGAGAAAGGGCGAGGGACGCCCCAAGCCCCACACTGCCCTGTCCCCATCACAGGCTGAGATGGCTACTGTGGAAACCCATCTGTAAACAGGCCCTGGAGGAGCCAGCTCGCAGTCGCTGTCTTCTAGATTCTTGATCTAGAACTGAATGAAGCAGAACAGGCTGGTATCTGTACCTCATAACCCTTCAGTGACGGCCCCACTAACACCACCGGGCGCATGGATGGCACCACGTCGTAGGGAGGAATGTGCTCCGTCTGAAAGAGATGATTTGACATGCGTGACAAGGTGAGGATGAGTGCGCCTCCTCGTCAGCCACAGCACTCATAATTCTCAGGTCACACAAAAAATGATCACCGCGGGCCCCCACCAACGAGGCTCATCCCTTATTTTACAGCCATTCGGACCACTGACATGGAGCATTGCAGGCATATGTGGAGAGAAACCTCAACAGTAGATTTAAAAAGGAAATACTCACTTACCACTTTTTGCTTCTGTTTGGCTAAAAGACAACAATGAGAGCCATATCAAAACATGTAACATCTGCACATGATAGTACACGACTTTCAGAGATGGAAAAATGTGCCCATTTGTCCCTGCAATTCTCATCACTTCACTGTCACGCTCTCCAGAGCACGGTTCTATTCCTGCCTTCAGGATGGGCCAATATTGAAGACATGAAAAGACAGACAACCTCTTCCCTGTGTGAGTGGCCTCACAAACTCATCTCACGTTGGGTGGGGAGGGTGGCTGCACAGCAACACTGGAAGCTCTGGGCCAGCACGGGCCACAGGCTGCTTCCTGCTGAGCGCGGCGTACAGCGCAGCTGGGATCAACTTGGGCAAATAAAATGCGATGGAGAGAAACTTAGAATTAACAATTCGGGTCAAAATAATCACCACCTCAATCACTCATTCTTTTTAGATTTTGCAATCCTTTTTGTATTCTTAAGTCTTTTGGTTCACATTCCAGGATATTGATACATTTTTCCTACTAGGAATACATTTTTCTTTCTCTTTTTTCTTAACATTTATTTTTATTTTTTTATTTTTTCTTCCTTTATTGATTAAGGTATTACAAATGTGTCCTTATCCGCCCCCCATTGTTCCCCTATTCCCCACTCATGCCCCCCCGCCCCCCGTTTCTGTATCCATTGGTTATGTTATATGCTTGCATACAAGTCCTTTGGTTGATCTCTCCCCCTTAGTCCCGCCCTCCCCTGCCTTCCCACTGAGGTTTGAACATCCGATCAATGCTTATCTGTCTTTTATCTACTTTTGCTTTTTCAAATAAGTTTATGACCAGTTATTCCTGTTATTTTTTTGTTTGTAATAGTGAAAAGCTGCAATGCCCTAAATGTCCAACAAGTGGGATAAGGCAAAATATACTCAATATCTGATTAAGTTGGTTTTGTGGCCACCCAAGCAGGTTCAGTTCATGTGGGGGCAACCCAGAGACCTAGCTTGGTTCACCTACACACTCAGAACTGTTCCGGGACCAATGCCGCTCCCTGCAGTTATGGGCCAGGAGAGACCTTGGGCTTGTCATCCTGAATTGATACTATGGAGGTCCTAATGCAGCATCAATTCTGGGCCAGAATGAAATTAGTGCAGAGGATCAGGAAGTGTGGCGGGAGGAAACTTCCTGCTTGAATACCCCCACAATCTCCAAATGCACACCTCTTGATCGGGCCAGCACTCTCCCTTCATGACCATTCATTTCAGGCCTCAGCTGTCTGCTGTCCAATAGGAACTGAGGTCATCTGGGCCCAGCCCTCCCACACCCTGCGCTGAACCCACACATTCTCAAGTTGCCCATGGAAGCTGAAACTGAGTGTTTTCTTGAGAATCTACAACCTTTTTTTTTTTTTTTTTTCTTTTAAATTGGTCCTCACCATCTGAAAGTCTGTTAGGTTCATGAGTGGAATAATGAACTAACTTCAGATAGGTTTATACAATGTTAGATAAATAAGATTTTTCAAAGGTATACAAATATCAAAATTTTTAGTACTATAACTAACCTTTAAATCAAATCACATCACTATAGAAGACAAGTGAGCAATAAAATACTAAGTAGAAAAAATATCTCAAAATCAAGCCTTTTAAATTGTTTGCAAATCAGTAAGAATACTTGCATGTATATGCAAATATGAAGCAAAGAATGCATTCCATTAAAGAGTTTAGGAGAAACCTCACCTGCTGATGTGGGTGTTGCTCGAAATGTCCCTGATACCATTTCTCCAAGACTTGAAGAAGAATTTCCACTGGACTTCCTAAAATATAGAAAAGGAACTTAACAGTCCTTCCCCAGATCCTTTGAAAATAGAGCTTGACAGCACAAAGCTTTCTTTGGCCTCAATTCTCCTAGATAATTCAAAACACACCACATCCTGTATAGAAACAAACTTCAAGAATCTGTCCAAATGTTTTCTTTGACCTCATTTCTCAGAGAAAATGGGGAACTAACTGGGACCTGGAAATATTTTGTAAAAGTATCTCTTCTAGCTATCTAATGCAGATATGAGGCAGAAAAAAGTTTTTGTGAGCAGCTTGCCTTTCACTAGCACAGATCACCAGGGCACCACTCCGATGTCAAACACAGCTCAAAGCAAGCAGTAAGAGCTGGAAGAAATGTTTCTTCTTAGAAGTGATTTTGTGGGGATCAGAATTAAGCATTGACAGTTTTGTGCCCCAGGATAGAAGATCATCAGCACTGTTCTCCTCATGTGGCTCTGGAAGCTTCCATGAGGCCCCGAGGAGCCCACCTCCCCAGTTTTCCACTGTCCCTCCTTTTCCGTGCTTCAGAGTACAGTCCCCAGGGTCAGATTGATTTGATTTCTCTTCCAGGCACATCATATCACATCTCTGAGTTTCCTTATCTCCTAAGGGTCAGTACAAAGAAAATAAGATCATGTCTGTAGCTCTTGGCTTGACTCTGGCACCTTCTGCAAAGTAAGCTTTCAGTTAAAAAATACTTAAATCTAGAACGATATTATGGAAAAAAATCTATGCTAATAAAAACCTTAGGAGTGATCATGCTGGCAGTGGAGCAGTTAGGGGATGATCAGGCTGGCAGGCAGAAGCAGTTAGGAGCAATCAGGCAGGCACACAGGCAAGTGGTTAGGAGCCAGCAGTCCCGTATTGTGATAGGGATGTCAAACTGCCGGTTTAGGCCCAATCCCACCTAAACCGACAGTCAGACATCCCCTTAAGGGTCTGAGACTGGAGAGGGTGCAGGCTGGGCTGAGGGACACCCCACCCCCCGAGCATGAATTTTGTGCACCGGGCCACTAGTAAGTAATAAAAATAATAAATAAACTAACAACGTTGGAACTGATAATAATATATTTATTATTTCATTCAGAGTATTCACTGTTCTAAAAATTAGGGGTTCATTAGTGGGGAGAGAAATGCAAAATCCCTTTACATATAAAGACAGACTCTAGATGTGGGAGATATCAGTATTAAACAAATGAATAGGAAAATATATTGTATTTCTCATATTAATAAAAGCAACAGAGAACACTGAGTCAGGATAGAGATGGGAGATGGGTACAATTTTAAATATGGTGGCAGGAAAGGGGCCAATCATATTGAATGATATTGAAGGATCTGAAGCAGATGATGGAATGATCTGGTGGAAATATGAAGGAAAGGGTTGCAGTAAAGAGGAAGCAGCAAGTGCAAAGGTCCTGAGGCAGATATGTATTATGGATGTGTTTAAAAAGTATCCAGAGAGAGAAAAAATTTAAAATAGGAGGAACAAGAGGAATTAATAATATAATAGGCATGTTGAATACTCAAGAAGATGGATAAGTAAAAGTGGGGTTGACTGTACTTTTATTTCTATCATTGTTTAAGAGGTTCCCATTGAAATATGGTAGCAACCATACTTTGGTAAAAACTGCTGTTTGAATTTTAACCCCACTATTCTGACTTTGACCTTCACTTACTTGCTTAAACAATAGGGTAGTTACAGGAGATTGACTCCCACTGACTCAGTAGCTTCAGGGGTAGAAACTATAGATAACCTTTAGAGATGAACCTCTGAGTTCTGCTTTTGTATTATGGGCAAGATAGGGCCACATTCCAATGTTCCCAGCCTTTAGAATTTAGAACAAAGGGAAATTCCTGTGGTTTGAAGCTTTAAAAGGGATTGCCTACACCTGCATCAGTGCGGTCCGGTGGGGCCCACCTGCGTGTGGTGCTCCCTCAGCCGTCCTGGCCAGTTGTTCAATAAATCCTTGCCTGCTTTTTTAAATCAATCATCAGCTTCCGGTGGTCTTATTTTGAACCAGGGTTCAGCCCCACAACACCCATATGCCAAAGGCAACAGGGCCCCTAAACAGAGAAGTTATTGACATAGAAAAGGATCTAATAGAAAAAGGCGGTTGAGGGTCAAGCTTCTATTTTAGGACTTACACAAAATGACAACACATAGGCTTCTGAGTAGGCTCACATGTGCAGACTCCCTATGATTCTGATTTCTCTCAAGCTCTGGTGTATTCCTGGAACCTTGAAATACCTGGGCCCTGAGATATGTGGCTACTTCGTTAGTTCCCTAGAGGCAGATCCATCTGAAGCTAGACAGAGTCTTTACCTTATTACCAAGACATGGCAAGTGCCACAGAAAGCCCTGGGTGGAGCAGGTGCTACTGGTACCAGGACCCACATGGGCCACTGCATTCTGTGCCAACTTGAGAGAGAATCTCTGAGACCAGTTAACCCACTTCCTATACTGAGAAACATGCCCTATGAAGGACAGCTTAGATTGCAAGCAGTGTTTGCTGAGGCTACGGCAATCCAGGTGGATTCCAGTGCCACCATGCTTCAGGGAGAATGAATATCTGAAACACCTTTGTGTCCGTTTCAGAAACTCCTCATACACAGAAAAGTACCTTTTACTTTGAGAGCACCAAGTTTGAACCCAGGAAGCAAACTTGAAAATATCGCCTAATGCTCCCATACCTCCCCCTCCCCCAATGTTTCTAGAAAGGAAGGAGGCTTACCCTCCGTGAAAACGTCCTCTTTTTTGTTCTTGCTGAATCCGGATGTTCTCCAATCTGAGTGGACTTGGGATGAAGCCAATCTCACAGCCTTCCTTCACCAGCCTTCCTATCCACCAGTCATTGTTATACTTCTGGAATGCAGAAATAAAACTGCTATCAATAGTAACACACACACACACACACACAAATATATATATATATATATATGGAGAGAGAGAGAGAGAGAGAGAGAGAGAGAGAGAGAGAGAGAGAGAGAGAGAGAGAGAGAGAGAGAGAAAGGTGGGATCTAAAACTTTGTATCTAAAGGCTCAGACAGTAAATTTTTAGGCTTTGTTGTCCATACACTCTCGGTGGCAACGACTTGAATCTGCTGTCGTAATGGGAAAGCATCCACAGACCATGCAGAAATACGTAAGCATGGCTGTGTTTCAATAAACCTTTCCTTAAAAAAAAAAAAAAAGTCAGAGGGGCAACAGTTTGCAAATCCCTGGCCTGAAATCAGGTCCTAACCTTTGGATTCCTTTGGCCCTTATCAAAAAGCCTTAGCCCATTCTTAAGGAACGGATTGTATAAGACTAACTATGCACCGGGGTAATTGAAATTCTGGAAGATAAGATAGGCAAGTCTAAAACGAAAACATTTAATATTTAAACAACAAATAGTTATTTGTCAAAAGCTTTTAGGTAAAAACCCATGATGCTCTCTGTCATCTACTCTCATTGGGGAAGAGTTATAATCTTCTGCGGGGAAGCAGTTTACAATCCCAAAAGATGCCACCCCAAATGTTAATTATTCTAAGCTGATTATCTTCAAGAAATGAAAGACTCCGGAAAAAAACTACTGACCTTCTCCCTAACTGCCTAAAGAATTGAGAGGCCCGCTCCAGGAAGGGTGATATCATCGTAGATGACGATAGTTTATTTATTTATTTTTAGATAACTATAGTTCAATATGAGCCATAAGATGCCTTTTCATCTCCTTGTGAATTGGCTTCCTGCCCTTTGCAGTGCCAAACCACACACACACACACACACACACACACACACACACACACACACACTTTCTCCTTAGCTCCAGAGTGACATATAAATCGTAACTTCCCAGTCTGTTCTTGGGTCTTATCGCTTTGGGGAACTCCTGTAAATACATACATAATAAACTTGGTTGTCGCTCCTATTACTCTGTCTCATATTACCTTGGTTATTAGACTAGCCAGAAGAATTTAAAAGGGCAGAAGTACAATTTCTCTGCCCCCATGCTTACAAACATAGGTTTGCAAAAACTAAGGTCTACCTTCCTACCTGAAGAAAAAGAAGCCTAAGGCTACAAAGAATAAACATGTTATATATATGTACGTGGATTTTTTTTTTTTTAAATAACCTCCAAATGGCCTGAAGCCCAACAGGAACACCAGGATTTCTATTTAAAGTTCCATGACCTTAAACCACCCATGCAAAGACTTCAGTCAATATAGGGTGAGCCTCTGTCACTGTGGCCCATTTGAAGGGTCAGCAAAACCGCAGTTATAACGATAGATGATAGATGTGCAGAACCCTAGGATAGAAGGCACATCTAATCCAACTGACCTGCCTCACAGAAAAGTTCCAGCCGGGGATTTCTAGAGAGCAGATATTAATTACCCCCTCCGGAGAGGATTCCCAGAGCTTCCTTTATAGTTTGTATTAGTATTGGGCAAGATAACTCTCTAGCTTTGATCCAAAAGTATCTGTTTTGTTTTTTTTTTTTCCAAAATGTAACAACTTTAGGTAGTACACTTTGCTTAGCTCGGAAAAAAAACGTAGAATGTATATGCAAGTCACACTGCCGCACTGTGAAGGAAGAAGAGGTGGTTTCACTGCATCATCACAGCACGAAGTTCTGCATAGCTGTGAGTAATTCTGAATAACAGCCTCACACTCAAAAGCAAAGAGATGTGGTTGAGGGGGTTAGCCTTTATTTTATACACGTCTCCTATGTAAGGCACACAAGGCATGCAGTATGAGACCGCACTGAAGAAACGTGAATCGAACCAATATAAAATTTTGAGCAATCTAGGTCTTGTTTTTCCCCATCTCCCTATCTTGGTTTTTCTTATCTTCCTGTTACAAGTCTGAAATAAGAGGCATATTTACTTTTGGGTAACAAAAGGCAAAAGGACCCATTGAAAATCTTAAGTGCAAGGCCTGGTATTTAAATTTCATCTTGGTGGGAATAAAACAGACCCTGAATCATAGTTTCCTAGAGCTTCAGTTATTTCCTGAAATGAAGTGAGTCCACTGGAACACTGATTTATTAAATGGTATCCCAGTGACCTTAAAGGGCTTCCTGAAGTGGTTACTGCAGCTTCCCAACATGTTTTAACTGAGTTATAGGAAACAGCCAAAGCCCGGAGAGAATCTGAGGCAACATGAATGAATGTTCTTTGAGCCACTGGAGAGGAAGTCACTATACACATTCAAGAGTTTAATTTGCGCAGCATTTGGCACATGTGATAAGGACAGCTGCAGCTCTCCTCTGCATTTACGAGTAAGCTTTTTCATTACTGAAAAGCACTTAAAACAGTGCATGATAGATGGCCTATATGGCAGTGGATGGGAGGAAGGGCTACAACTTCATTACAGAAATGTGTTCATTGGAGTTGCTCTTCCATGAGCATGTGCCAGCTTCCTGGCAAGGTGACCCCAGGGTTCCAATCATTCTCATCTTGATCTCCCTAAAATGATTAGTGCTTTCTCTTTCTGAGATGTTTTCTTATCTGATATTTCAAGATTTGAAACAAGTGGCTCTAATCCACATGGGATTACCAGCTCAATACCATTCATCAAACTGCCGGATTAAAGAGGTCATTGATCAAGGAGCATATAGATCAAAAAGCAACCGACAGAACAAATTGGGAATATTGATGGGTTGGGGAAAAGCAATAAAATACAGCGAAGTGGGCGTGTTGGTGTGTGTGAGTGTGCGTGAGGATGGGATAGGTGAGAACTCTTGCCTTTGAAAGTTCCGCTTTCCCTTGGAAATGAAGTGTGTTAGCAACTAATGAACACGGTTGGCCATTTTTGATGGGAATGGTGAAACTAAATCTACTTAACCTTTCACATACCAGGGCACGTGTTTCAGGTCATGGGCCTTTGTCTTCCAGGTAAATGTCGACCATCAAGAAAGCACCCTCCATCATGCTGATGCTTCATCCGCCTCCCATTACCAAGGCAGTCTTTGCCTGCACTCATCGTTTCCTGCACGTTCAGTGAAGAAGTGTTCCCCTTCCTGTCAAAGGTCTATCCCTGCACTTGGGCTCTGGACCTCACCCACCCTTCATGCTACTCAAAAACTTTACTCTTTTGCTCTCTCCTCTCCTTTCCTCTTCTTTTCTCCTCCTCTCCTCTCCCCTCCTCTCTCTTCCTCCTCTTCCTCCTCCTCTTCTCCTTCCTCCTCCTCCTTTTCCTCTTCTCTTTCTCTATTTCTCTGTTAATATTAGCATGTAGAGATGTTCCAATAGCTTCTGTCTTGAAAGGAAACTGCTTTTGAATTCATACCCTTCTCAGTCTAGTGCCAGTCAGTGTCAACCTCCTTGAAAGCATTGTCTACAATTGCTAAATATATGCCCCTTCTCTCCTCATCCCATATATAGGGGTGGCTTTCATCTCTTCAATTCCAGACAGTGGTCCCAATGACCTCCATGCTGCTGAGCACCACGCCACCCATCCAATGTCCATTCCTCACTCCTCACCTTGGGTGACATGTCACATTTGCCACAGCCGACTGCCTCCTCCTTGAGGACACACTCCCCTGATGTCCACATATTACTCCATCCTGGTTTTCCTCCTCTAGCTCAGACTTCTCCTGTTCAGTTTTCTACTTTGTTGCATCTTGTCATGTTCACCATCTCTGCAGGATGGGATTCCTTTGGGTTTGATGCAGAGCTACCTTCTCTCCACCCTCTACTTTATTTTAGTAAGTGACTTCCTTCATTATCACAGCTTTGAATGCCGCGCATAAACAAATGATCAGAATTTATTATTTTTGGCCCAACCCTTTCCTCTGAGCTCCAGATTCTTATAGCTAACTTCCTACTTGATATCTTCTTTGAAGTGTCCACTCCCCAACCACTCTCCTCATCTGTCCTCTCCCCACCCAAATAATATGCATCCCAGTTGCTCAATTTCAGTTCCTACTCTGAGTCCACACCTGTGCTCCTCACTGAATTGCTATAATATATTTCAAATCTGTCTACTTCTCTCTATCTCACTGTCACCATGCTGGCTCCATCCCATGGTCTCATACTTAGAATGATGCTTGTGGTCTGCCTGATTCCATACTTATCTCACTCCCATCCATTGTCTCTGCCACAATCAGAGAACCTTTAAAAAAAGTAAATTCATCTTGCTTTTCATTATATTACATTCAGAATAAAACCTGAAGTCTCACCATCACCAAAAGGTCCTACTTGACTTGTGCCCTACTTGACTTTTATAACACTGGCCCACTGCATTCCAGCCCTATGACTTTCTCCCAGTGAACGAATTGTGCCAGGCTATTTCCCTACCCCAGGTCCTTTGCACATGCAGATTTCTTGTCCTAGAAGGTTCTCCCCCTGCTCTAAGGCTGGCTTTTCCTCATCCTTCATGTCTCTGTTTAAAGGTCACATTCTCACAAAAGCTTTCTCTGATCACCCCTATATTTGGAAATATATAACCCCCTCATCCTTATATTTAAAAATTTTCAGCATTTGGTTCATTTCCCCCCACCTCCCCCTAGCATTCACGATGTGGAATTATTGATATGTTCATTATCTGTGTCCGCAGTAGAATTTAAGTCTATGAGAAAAGGATCTACTTCATTTATAGCTGTTGGATATCTGCAGGGCCTGGTATATACTATAGAACTATATCTCAAATGAGTGACTCTACAAATGTAGGTCACAGGGGTATAATGCAAGGAAGTGAGACACCTGTAGATATCCAGATGTTTGACCCACTTAATATTAAATAGTAAAAATGTTCAAACTATGTATATACATCCTGCTGTCACTAATGCTATGGTAGAATGCAGCTTTAAAAACAATAATTTTCAAAATTGTTATATATTCACCATGACAAGCATCTCAGTGGCATTAAGTGACATGTTTACGTTGGTCACATTCTTCAGGCTCCTCCATTCTCAGGTTTCATCTTATCGTCCCTAAGGTCTCATTTCCAATGCTTTCTCTAGTGGAGCCAACGGAGACTATCAAGTAGGCCCTGACCCTGTTGGAAAATTCTGTGCAGAACAGAGAAGGAAGGCAAGACTTCCCTCCCGACTCAGCCTGATTCCTGTGCCCATTTTCCAGATGCTGTCTTCTCCCCTCGACGCCAGCCCCTCCCTCCTTCAGCTATGCCTTTTCCTTCCAGTATATTTCACTGGGCTCAACATCTCGGCATGGAAAATATGCTAAATCTTTCCCCTCTTAAAAACAAAACAAAAAAAGAAAAAGAAAAGCTAAATTTAAAAACAATGCCTCAGCTCTTTATCTTCTCCTGACTAGAGCCCGGTCTCCTTCCCAACTGCCAGCATTCAGGAAGAGAAAGCTGCAAGTCCGCTTTTCTGGCACCCAGATTATATGGATAAAGGTTTACTGAGTATCTTCATGGGGATTTCACAGCACCCCTGACCTAGTGTACCTAAAAGCAAATTTCTAACCACGTCCACCCCCATAATAAGTCTTCTCCCCTCTCTGCCTTCCTTATTTTTCAGGGTAGCTGGAAAAACGAGCCGCCACCCTTCATTCTCTTTTATGTCACCTTCCCCAATATTCCCTTCCCACGGGAAACCTGCCAACCCTCTCCATCGGCCCCTTCTCTCTCTCCCTCTCTCTCCAAGCTGCAGCCTCTCTCCGTCCTCTCAGCCACTGCCAGTCTGGTCCCAGGGTGCCTCCCCGTCCTCTGTAATACCCTCTCGTCCATCTAAGTTATGTTAAGACACAGGCTGGTCACATCCGGCTTTTCTTTAAAATTCCTCTCCAGCCCACTGCCTGGTGATAAAGTCTAGGCTTCTTGCCATGGCTTACACAGCCCTTAAAAAAAAAAAAAAAAAAAAAAAAAAAAAAAAAATCAGGCTCCAGCCTCTCTGCCCTGGCCCGCCCCTGGTACCACTCCCTGCTTACCTCCCTCCAGCTACCTGTACTGCTCCCAGCTGTCCCTTCCACCAGATACCCCCCCATCCCCGCCTGGCTCCCTCAGGCTTCACCCCTTCTGTAGAGCACTCTGGCCCCTGATCCTTCTACTCCCCTGCATGGTGATCCCCAGCTCTTTATCTGGGTACCCACCACACCCATTCAATTGTGCTGCAATCGAACTTGTCACCCCGTGTGAGAACATTGTACTTGTCAGTCTCTTCCACCAGCTCAGAGCTCCCTGGCAGCAGGGAGCGGGAGCCTCCATCTCGGATCCCCCCAGTGCCCAGAACCATGTCTGACGTGAAGCAGGATTTCAATGTGCCCAGGTTGAGTGAATAAAAGTTTGGGTTGTCACTACTTCACCTTTCGAGTTGAGAGGCTACCAGCCCTCCTTGTAACTGCTCAATCCCTTAAGCTGTTTCCCAAAGACCTCTGCCCCGTCTTAGCTTTAATACTTTAATGATTACACTCACCAGTGTTGATTCCAAGGTCCAGGCCTCAGGGTTATAGCCCAGATGTTATACTGACAGCGTCCCATGTAAATGGTCTTTCGAGGTAGGTTCCCTGCCAGCCGAACTCATGTTTCCCTCAGTCAGATCCCAGTCTACGGCTCTGTGGTCATGATCGGTGACTAAACGGTGACCCAGGACCCCAGGTATGTCCGAAATCTGCCCCGTGATGATGACCGTGAGCCTGGCTTTGGCCTCGGGGCAAGTAGGGACGCAGAGTGCCCTCCACTTACCTCTTTAATGTGTAGAAAGTCCTTGGCGTCGAAGGAGATGGCCGTGCTTGGGACAGGCACATCCTCGTCCAGGGCACCACAGTAGCTCACGTTCGTCTTCACAGCAAAGGCTACAGGCTTGGTCTGGGCCCAGTGCCATGGAGCGAGGGAAGAGGGAGGAAGACAGAGGAGGGATTTTCACAGTGAAACGCAGTATTATAACAAGACAACTGATGAGACCAGGCAGGAGGGGAAATCAGTCTGCTAAGGGGGATCTCCACTGGGTTCCACGTGGAGACACCTGCGGACCTGGCACTGGACACTGCTGATGCAGTGTCACTGCCTCAGCCCTACCCGCCCACCCGCCTCCCCCCTGCACTGGTACTTTCCAACATCCCAGACAAACAATGTGCCCCTAACCACTAAAAAGGGATGAAAGTGGGAGGGGCTGTCTGCTTTGCCCCCCAGTCATACATCCCTCCTTACCCCCTCAACCTCCCTCCCCCCCTTGCTCTTTGGAAACAGGAAACGGGTGCTGGGTCTTAAATAAAAAGGTGGGGTGGGCGGGGAGGAGGTGAGTGAGCAGCTCAGATCTGAAAACCTGTGGGATCCCACTCAATAGAATACCTTGTCCTGCCAGGGAGGAGAAAGGCCGGCGAACGTGGCCAGGAAGGCAAAGCCACTCACTCACCACCTTCTCCCCAGCTACCAAGGGCTGGTTCTGAAACTCCTTTGCACCAAGGACCCTCGGGCTGGTGCTGCCTGGCAGAGGCTACACAACCCCCCAGCCTACGCGAACGCCACTACCCTGACTTTTGGGCGACCAAAACGGCCACCAAATGGACTCAGAGAAAAAACTAAACCACAAATTAGCCACAAATGAGAGCTCAGGGTTCCTGCAACCCCGGCTGCTTTGTTATTGGCTCATGCATTCGAGCTGTGAACATGGCTGGGGAGCAGTGCTGGAGACAGGGCCTGAGTGAGGGTCCCACGGATGTCCCTTAGCAGGCACTGCCCCAAAGCCCCTTGGCCAACCGACACAGACACCTCAGATGTGGGGGATGAAGGAGGATGCAGCATTACCGGCACTATTCTCCTCTTTCTGCTCTTTTTACACTCTTATTGTGACTCTTCCCATCCTGGCATTTAAATGTGCAATTTGTTGCCTCCTAAGGGTGCAGAGATTCCTGGGATGAGGGAGAGGGGGGTGAGGGGAGTGCGGAAGCTCTCCTTGTGGATATCTGAACGCCTATTTTGCAATGCCTTTATTGCTCGTCTTGGCAATGCCAATACTTTTTCGAAGTTCTGAACTTCATGCTGAACTTGAGGTGGGAGACTGAAACCAGGAGGGAAGATCAGCAGGGAGACCCACAGAACAAGTGTGGCCTGAAAGGAGGCCGACGTCATGGAACAGGTGGTGAGACAGGAACCTTAGGAGGCTCTGCCAACCCTGGGCGTGGTGAGCTTGGTATTGGCCACGACTGCTAAGCTGGAAGAGGACCAAAAACTGCACCTCCAAACCAAACACAAAAGGGTCAAGTGCTCCCCCCGGAAATGTTTGGAAACCTCGCTTGGAAGTGAATGGACCAGAAAGCCGTGCAACCTGGTGCCTTATCAAGGTGATCATAAAAGGATGTTTTCAGAGAAATCCGAGGCAGGGGAAGAGCAGCTAGCTGGTCAGCATTCTGCTTCAGAACCAAAGAGGAGAAGGAGTCACCTTTGCTCTCTCCAGCTGGATGGCCGCCTGCTGCTCTCTCTCCTGCCGAATCGCTTCCCGGTCCTCCTCCAAGGAGACATCGGAGTCCGAGGGCCTGCTTGTGTAGGAATCCGCGGAACCCTGGGGAGGGAGACCAGAGTGGGTTAAATGCGCTGACGGGAAGCTTCTTGCACCGTCCCATCCTGTCCAGCATCCTACGTGGGTTCTTCTCATTCGCCTGGAATGTGACGCACACACCCTGGGCCTTCTTGCAGATACAAATTTAGACGGCAGAATAGAGCTAAGCATCTGAGTAATTCCGAAGGTAGTGATGTTGTGAAGAAAATATTTGGACTAGGTTAAGTGCTAGGAAGTAAATAAACTGCAATGAAAATGATGTGATAGTCAGCCCCAGTTCCTTCTTGTTCTCCGCTATTTTTATATTAAGCTCACACTCACTTGTGAAAATGAAGTCTGATTCCATCCTCTCTTCCATGCACACCTCTAAGAGGAAAAAGAGTCAGTCTGTTACAAGAGCTGAATCCTACGTGTAGTTTGGATAACTGATTTGCCCGGAATTTCAACACCAGGGAAGTGGAATCCTGCATTAGTAAAACGACTTCCCAGTTCCAGTGTCAACACCACTGAACTTCGCCGAAACCGGTTTGGCTCAGTGGTAGAGGGTCGGTCTGCGGACTGAAAGGTCCCAGGTTCGATTCCGGTCAGGGGCATGTACGTTGGTTGTGGGCACATCCCTAGTAGGGGGTGTGCAAGAGGCAGCTGGTCAATGTTTCTCTCTCATCGATGTTTCTAGCTCTCTCTCTCTCCCTTCCTCTCTCTAAAAAATAAAAAATATATATTTTAAGAAAAAACACATACAAAAAACACCACTGAACTTCTTCACTGTGAAAATGGCCATCACTGTCCTACAGCAGCCATACGTGGTCACTAAGCCACCAGGCCATGCACCGTGAAAGAAGAAAACAAGGGAGTCCTTGATTGGCGCCCACATCTAGAAGGGCCATTGGAACAATACTGACATCCAGGCCCGCTGGTTGCAGCCCATGGACTAAAGTCACCGGCATCAGTTGGAGCTCCCCACAGGAGAAGAGATGGAAACTCTAGCAGCTAGTTAAAAAGTCACTCCCCTACCCCACCCTGCCTCACCCCCCAAAACCCTAGAAGCTTGCCTTCTGGGTGCTACAGGAATATCATCCTTACAACGTCCTTCAGCTGGCATTATAAGTTGATATTTGCATAGACGATGACATTTACACAGCAGAGGTATGGACAGGACTTGATGTATTGGGCGGGTTTCATAAACCATGCACAGATCTTGAAAAGCATAGGCCTATCCATATAGCTAAGACTTGGCTTCCGAACGTGAAAAAAGACTCTAAGAGTGGTCGATGGCTGAGATGGGCCCTTTGAGTGTTTTTCTGACTGTTGGCTTATACATTATTTGTGAGTTTGCTGCCTGTAAAGAAAACACTGCCTCTTGGAAGCGGGTGTTATTCTAGCTGGGATGGTTTTTCCCACCATAAAAAACACACACAAAAATCCCTAGCACAAATCATCCTGGCTGCCTAGAACAACAACCCCTGGTTAGAGGTTTTTGTCAGAGTGTCCAGCAGAACCCTGTTCTAAGTTCTGCCTCTGCAATTTTGAGAAGTTGGTGCAAGTGACTTAGGTCACTCCAAACTCAGTCTTCCTAATCTGCACAATGGGGATACTGACTACATCAAAGGATTAAATGGAATAAAAGAAAACAGACAGCTAATATGTATTAATCTGCTATTATTATACACTAGTGTGGCGCTAGATGCATATATATTATAAATGAGTTGAAAAGTAATTAGAATCTGCGAATTCTTTTTTCAAAAAAATCAATGTAGAAGTATCAACACTAAGAAGGTACACCTTATGTCACAGAATCCTTACAACCAGCCATTTCAAACCCTACACAGAGCTGCATTTGATATTAAAATATTTTCTCCAGGGCCTGGCACATAGTAGGCACACACTAGCCTTTTTCATTCCCTTCTTAGTGTTGATATTTCTACATTGATTTTTTTGAAAAAAGAATTCACAGATTGTAATCACTTTTCAACTCATTTATAATATGTATGTATGCATAACAGCCCATCTTGAAATGTATCCATTTCTTCTTATTATAGTTGCGGCAAAGAAAACACCATTTCACCCCCAGTAATTGACATATAACATTGTATACCTATCGTGTGCACAAATATGATACACTATTTGTTTAGTAACTGCAATGTGTCTAAATCCAGGCACTTTGTGTAGCACTTTGGAAAGTGTCCTTCACAGAGAAAATGCATTTGGTTAGACAGATCCTTCTGTGCCAATCTACTGGGTGTGTGTGTGTGTGTGTGTGTGTGTGTGTGTGTAAGTCTGGATCCACAAAATGAATAAGTACAAGGTGACTATTTTACAGATGCATTCATTGCTTTCCAACGCGCTACTCTGAATCTTTTAAAATGGAGTTCTCTCAGAACATCTTTTTCTCCAAATTCAGTTATACTTGCATAAAATCCAGAGTCCGCGCAAAAGGACACAATGCTTCTGAAATATACATGACAACAGTTCTGAGTTAGTCTCAGGTGAGGCTTTGCTAAAGTGTGATGTGTGCAGGAGACCAGGGGCTGTGGGAAGATGTCTGGGCCGGACAGTGATTAGGAGGCAGGCAGTCAGGAAGGCGGCACTGGCCTTGTTTGAAAACATGTGCTGAGGAAGGCAATTGACTACTGTTCCCAAGAAAGCAGGCTGCCCACTGCTGCAGGGAGTCAAACAGCTAAAACACAGCCTACTGTTGACACAAGGAGATGGCTCATTTCCTGAAACTACCTTAACGACATTTCAAACCCTGACCTTATGTCTCTCCCGAGCACCCACAAAGTGATTCAAGGGCTCCTGCAAATGAACTTTATTTTGAAATGTGAACAAAATGGTAAGAATTTCAGAGTTACTTAATAAGCTCTACTACTGCCAACTATGTAAAAGCAAACGCTTCTGTTCACTTCCCTGTTTCTGAGAGTACTGGCGGAGGGGAAAACCGGGGGCTGTGAGAGCAATGCTCACAGCCACGGTGTTACCATAGCGTTTCTCTGGGGTGTAGGGCGGGTTTTCGTTGCACGTGGAAATGGTTGCTGCTGCTTCTCAAAGTCCCAGGGAACGCAGAGGGCAACATCAGAAGCTCAACTTTGGCCCGTGGACATGTTCTGCTGGCTCGGAACAGAATGGATTTCTTGTTTTCATTTATTATTTTTATTTTGTGTTGTTTCAACTGGGTCCAAGAGCCTACAGAGCTATCCCAGGAGAAAGGAGGGAAGAGGAAAAGAGAAGGCCCCAGGTTGTTACAAAGGCGCAGAGCGAAGAACAAGAGCGCTAAGAGAGGCCAGGGGAGCCTGAGGGGCCGGAGAGAGGAAGGAGCCAGGGAGGGAAGTCCAGCAGGCTTCATGGACTGAGGGCGCAGCAGGACTGCCCAGACAGAGCTCGGGTTAACCATTTATGATCAGGGACGGGAAATGACAAGAAGAAAATAAGGTTAGACGCTAAGAGGACAGAACTAAGATGCAAAGGTTGCTAGTCCTGGCCAACAGCTTTCGTTTTTCAGAATTCCATGTCATAAAAAAAAAGGGCAAAGGTGATCTATCTAGCTTATTGAGTGAGCCAATCTCAGGCTGTTACCCCATGAGCAAAGGGTATGGCGGAGGCCAATCCCTCAAAAGTTACTAAGCAGACATAGCAGGTCACATCTTAGAGTCTCCAATGAACCAACTAAATCTGGAAAAGAAAAATTGCTAATAGTCTCTTCATAAATATAATTGTGTGTAACATATATATTATATATAATTTTTAAAGCCATAAACTAATGTATTCTAGTGAACATAAAAAGAAAGAAACAGGTTATGCTTATTAGGTGTGATGTTAGCAATCTAACCTTAAAAGTGTGTGTATATATATATATTTAATATGTAATAATCTACATATATATTAAGAATTATGTATATACACATATACATATATATTAAGAATTGTGGTTTTTAATGCCTTAATTCAAAGTACTGGGTGATGTGTACATTCCAGCACTTAGGCAGACAAAGAACTTTTGAAATTATGCCTAAAAGATGACTATTTGGACTTTGCTCTAAGCTATTTTCTACTGTTTCTTATAAATAGCAGGTTTTCAAAAATGTTGGCTGAAAGAATAAGGCAACCTCTCCAGCCCACTTTTACTGGACAGAAGACCTTAAGTTTGGCTTCAGTCACCACTGAACTAAGTTTTGTCCTTGGGCTACAATGACTAGTCAAAGGCAGCAAAGGCATATGTTCCAGAAAGTTCAGAAAGGGAAGGCCACAATTACCCCCATTTTACAGATGAGGCACCTGAGGCTCAGACAGTAGGAGCATTATTGCATGCCACTATCATAGGGCATTATGCAGGGAGCAGGAATATAGGTAGATTAAAAAAAAATTCCTCTACAAAATCTGAAGCAAAAACTTACGTTAAAATGTCAAACATTTTAGTTGTCTTTAGTAAAACAAAATGACATCTTGCAATATTTTGTTAACATTGCTCATTCACGAACATTTCACTAATTTAGAATGATGGATTTAGGTAAAGAACTGGCGATCTGAGATCATGAAAAGTGACTTGCAGACTGCTTTTCAAAAGACAAAAGACATGCTTTCGAAAAGACATCCACACAACATCTCCAGGTCATCAAGGTTTTGGTTTGCGGATTTCTTTGAGCTTCTGCTTCAATGATAGGATTTTATTCAGCCTTTTAGTTATTGGTCAGAGATTCTAAGGTACCCTTGAGGGTTTTCTTTTTCTCTTAAGTAATAACTCCTCCGATTGTGTTTATACTGCTTACATACAGATTTTTTCCCCCATAATTAAATTATCTCTATATATATAAGCCTAAGAGACCATTTGACCGTTTGACTGGTAGCTATGATGTGCACTGACCACTAGGGGCACACGCTCAACACACAGGCATGGAAACTTGGAACAGACTGATGAATTTCAGGGGAAAAGGGGGAGGAGGGAGGGTGGGAAGAGATTAACCAAAGATCTTATATGCATACTAGAGGCCCAGAGCATGGATTCATGC